TAAAGGCCCATTTACTGAAAAGGTCTATGTGATGTAGGAACCAAATGCCAAGCACTGCAGCTTTTCCTTCTCCTCCATACTGATGTTTCAGCTCCAGAGCATGCACACAGCAGTCACAGAGGCTGTGCCACCTGCAGCAGCACGTTGGTGCTGGAATCCCAAAGCCACCTCTGAACCATCCCTGAAAGCTGAGGGAAAGCTTGCTCTGACCAGCAGCCACACGGGCTGTTTTGGTTTTGATTTGCAGCAGATTTGATAAGAAAGCTCTCAGGAAAAACAAATTTCCTCTTGGACTCAGTCGAATTGGGCACATATTCCGGCACACCGAGTTCCCTTTCCTAAAAGCTCATGAAGTAGGCTTCTAAAATTAGGAATAAGAGGTGAAGTCCTGGCCCTTTTTCAAGCAGGGACCATTATCCCCAGGACCAGCTCTCACTTGAGGGTCACTGTAGACCCTCATCGATGGAGAGCAGTGACAAGAAGAAAAAAAAGTCTTGATAACAATCTTTTATCTCTAACTGTTATTCCAGTGGTCTCTTCTGTTTCTCCTGCTGCCCTCACACTGTCTCATTCCGTAGCCTGTATCCACCACCAGTGCTGCTGTACAAACAGTTCGGTGTTTGGCCCAGAGACGATGAATCGCTGGTGCTCAGCTGCTCCAGCAGTGTCACGTTCCAAATTAAGCACCTCCGTTTTCACTGGGGTCATTGCTCATATGCAGCAGTTTCTTTTTTATTTAGTCTAGTCCAAAAAAAGGGCAATTACTATCTCCCTGCAAATGCCAGGGCTGCAGGGGTTGGCAGCTGTGACATCCAGATGCCCTGGGAGATGCGCAGAGCAGCCCAAGGGGTCCTGCCATGCCCCTCCCCAGCCCCACAGCACCTTCACAAGGAGGATGTGGGGACTGGCACATGTGGCAACGTGAGGGATGCTCCTGGGTCAGAGCAGGAGGGCAGAGCCCTCAGGTGACCCATGCCGTCCTGCAGACCCCAGTGTGGACAACAGCCTCTCTGCTGCCTCCTTCCACAATTCGAGGTGGACACGGCCCTTGGTGGGTGCCAGGGCTGGGTGTCTGGGTGCCGTGGGGGTGGCAGCATCTTCTCCAGAGAAAAGAAGCAGGAATTTTTCCCAAAAGGCAGCCCTGTGATTCTGCTCACTGTGCATCGAGCAAGGAGCTGCGCCTGGGCTCCACCAGCCCCTGCAGGGAGCCCTGAGAGAGAAACCAGCAACCAAAAAATCATTTTATCCCTGAAACACTCATTTCTAATCGCACTGCTGCTCCAAACTAACAGAGAGGAGAGTAACCAGGAGCTGGGAATCAGAGGTGGCTCCCCCTCATGGACTGAAGAGCAGGAGAGGAAAGGAACTCAGGAGCACACAGATGCCACCACGGCCATCCTGCTGAAAGCTCCCTGACTCCTGCCAAGCCGCTGTGTCCAAAGCAGAATCAGGAAGCCAAAACCCCCTGGAGACCCAAAGCCAGATGTGTGTGAACAAATGCAGCAGAAAATTGGGCAGAGCAGAGCCTCTCCAGCAGTTGTCCCCTGGCTGCTCCGTGCTGCTGGGCACAGGTGGCTCTGGCACCAGGTCACCGGCGGCAGAGCTGGTGGTAAGCAGCAGCCACACGAGGAGGAACACCTCGGGGCTATTTGCATGCTGGTTTTGGTGGTTTTGCAAGCCCAGGGCCTGCTCTGAGCAGCTGCTTTCTGTCAGGGTGCTTCCTGCATTCCTGCCTGTGATAAGCATCTGGGAATGAGGGGTGAGGGCAGCATCCCAGCTAGTCCCGAGGAAGGTCTCTCACACCCCAAAGCCTGGCTGTTTTTTCCCAATTTATGTCAGTTGGGCTAATAAAAGTGATTACCTCTTCCTACCAGTCCTGCCTTTCTCATTGATCCCACGGGCTGTTCTTCAAATGTCACCTAGCAAGGAGGGAGCACACAGCCAATTATAAGAAGAGAAAAGATTGGCCTGATGGCAGAGCAGCGGGGTCCGTGGTGGAGCTGTGCTGCACGAAATAAATGAGGCGGGCCTGGCTTTGCCACCCAGGATGCCCAGAAGGAGACATTTGGTAGTGGGCAGAGCCCCAGCACTTTGGGCAGTGTGAGAAATGCAAACTTTCTTCTCCTCTTGACCTCTGTGCTGAGGTTTGGTGTTATTTCTGTTTGAATAGGAAGCCTTGAACGTGCTAGAAGGTAACAACTACTCAAAAGCACAAATAAAGGCAGGCGAGCCACAAAAGCAACCCACGCTTTGGGTCATGATGATGATTATATTTTTTTTTTTTTATGTGGGGTGAATTCCTGCCTCTGTTTTGAACCCGTGCTCACTACTCCACTTGCTGTGGGTCACGGCTGCTTAGCCAGGGGTTTGAATCAGCTCGTGCCATGGGGGCACCCCAACACACCTCACATAGGTGAGCAAAGACCCAAAGCAAGCAGAGAGCTGCGGAATCGAGGAAGAAAGTTTGGCCTTTCTGTGCTTCCTCCACCACACCCCACTAACCACAAGAGGTTCAAGCCTCTCTGAGTATAGCACAACAAAGACAAAATACTGACATATAAGCTGGGCTTGCTGATTTCTGCATCCTGGGCCACAGAAACTTTCTGAGAGCTGAGGCAGGCTCTGGGAGAGGATGTGGGACTGTTACCAGGGACGTGCAGGACAGAGCTGAGCTTCGACTCCCCCAGAGTTAGCGTATTTTGTACTAAGTTCCCAAAGTTGCTTCTCCTCCTTTCAAGACTCAGTGCTTCTTGTGAGGATGAGCATTGGCACATCTGTTAGGATAGAAAGCCAATGCTTTCTGAAAGCTTTGATTTAGCATTAGAGAATCCCCAGAAGTTAGCATAACCCACAAGAAAGAGCCCAGCACACCTGCCAGGTTCTTACCAGCAGCTTGCCTGGATCTTTTGCTAGCGTTTTCTGATCAGGTCTTTAAAAAGAGGGTTGAACAGTGAGCTGAGTACGACATGTAGCTCCCACACCTCCCACTTCTTCCCTGCTCTGCTCCCCTAACACCACACCTGATCCATACCTTCATTTTCCCAGCAGTTTCTTGTTTTGCATCCCCTGCAAGGTGCATGCTGCTAGCCCCTGAGGGAGTGCAGGGACCTGCGTGCAGGGAGCAGGGTGCAGGCAGGGCACCCAGCAGATGCTGAACCAGCCTGCATTTGTGTGCAGACCTCACCCTCAGCTGCTGCAAACTCCGTGAAAGCCAAAGGAGAGCTACAGGCGTACAGCAGCTGGTTACAGTTGTACCTCCTGCATGAACGTACAGCCTGTTTATCTCAGTAGCAGGCAGTGGAAACTCGTGGTAATTAGCTGCGGTCATCAGTGTTCCCCTGAACACTTGGCTCCCCCGAATACCCATTTCCTGAAGCCTGCATCTGCCTGCCGTGGGAAGAGGTGCCTGCGATGCTCTGTTCTCCTCTCTTCACTTTTAAAACCTCAGGAGCGTGCAGACGCAGAAGCGGCGCGTGGGAAGCCACTAGTTAAGGCAGATCCCCACCGAGACAGAGCGCTCGCACTGCTGAAACTGCCTCTCATCTTATTTCCTGATTCCAACACCTCGTTTGCCCCTCTGTCTTAAACCACAAAACTTCCTCTCCTCCACCCGGCTCTCCTCTATAAATAGCCCGGGCTGAGGCGGCGCGAAGCCACGGACACCTAGCGGGGCTGAGGGAGGGCTGCTTGGCACCGCAGCGCTGCGCTCCTCTGGAAAAAAGTGAGGGAGCCTCACGGAACCCCTTCAGACCCTGGTGGCTGACACGTTTTGATCAAGATTCAGCAGCAGGAACTGCTTAATTGCTAACAGAGGCAGCAGCCACCCTCCCTGCCTTGCTGCTAGCCCAGTGCAGCAGCCAGGGCGCTGAGCTGCAGCCGCTGCTGGTGCAGCTGGTAGCAGGGGGTAAATGCAGAGGCGACGCTTTCTCTTCTCCCTTTCTGTGGCACAGGGCTAGCAGCAGTGCCAAGCACAGCCCCCGGGCCCCGCTGGCACCTCTGCGAGCCCCCAGGGCCTGCAGGCAGCAGGATGAGTCTGTGGGAGAGCAGCACCAGGGGGAGAGATTTCAGCGCAGAGCGATGGGCAGAAATGAAACTCCAGTGGCAACATTATCTCTTGTTGGGTTGAAAGGAAGTTTGCAGGATTCCTTAGTCCTTATTTAGCAAATTTGTTTGCTTTGGAGGGAAATACTTGTGATGGTGGCCGGGGTTAAACACATGCCTGGCTGCGGCGTGGCAGAGCACAGCACGCAGCAGTCGCACAGCCCCTGCGCCCTTGGCCAGCCCTGGTTTTTTGGGGCCAGGCTGCAGCTCCAGCGCTCAGATGTGACCCCAAATACCTCGGTTGTAGGGCTGCGGTGCTGGGCTGGGTGCTGGGAGGGCTGAAGGACCTGGTGCCACCCTGGCACAGAGCATCACTGGGCGGGTGGGAGCTCTCGGGAGGGCCAGACCCCCGTGCCCAGCTGAGGACAAAGTTTTTGAGAGCACCGTGGGGACCCTCCTGGTGCCACTTGGCCTGGGAACAGCCCAGCTTGGGGAGCACACGGGTGGGGTGTGGGGACCCCCGGGTGGCAGTGGAACACGAGTGGGGCAGGGGGGTGTGGGGACACCCCGAGGCAGGGAGCGTCCGTGGTGTGTGGCACCCGTGGGTGTCAGGCACGGGGACAGGGCTGGGAGCGCGTGGGGGCGGGAAGCACAGGGCCACCCCGCGGCAAGGAGCACGCGTGGGCGTGGGGCCACCACGGGGCGGCGCGGGGCCACCGTGGGGCCACCACGGGGCCGCGAGGAGCCGCGGGACAAGCAGGGGGCACGTCGGGGCCGCCCCACGCGGGGGACCCCCGGGTGCGCGCGCGCGGCGGGGACACGCGTGGGGCCGGGGGCGGACCGGAGTGGGGACCTGGGGGGGCGCGAGGTGCGCGCGAGGAGGCGCGGCGCGGGCTGCTATTGGCTGCGGCGGGGCTGATGTCACGGCGGGGGCCGCTATAAATTCGGCGGCGCCGGAGGGGCGCGGGGCAGTCGGGCGGGCGCGGCGCGGAGCGGCGGGACGGGAGCAGAGCGCACCGGGGCGCAGCGCGCACAGCACCGCACCGCAGCGCACCCCGGCACCCAGCCCGTCCCGCACCTGCTGTCCCCTATGAGCAGCCCCGCGGCGGCACAGCACTAGGGAAAAGCCCCCGCCGCCTGCCCGGGGAGAGGGGTGGGTCGTTGGGGGGGGGTGTCATGGGGGTGGCGGGCACCGAGCTGCCCGGTGGCAACGGCAGCGCCAACCAGAGCGCCGCAGACCCCACGGTGTCGAGGGACGTGTGGATGGTGGGCATGGGGATCCTCATGTCGCTCATCGTGCTGGCCATCGTCTTCGGTAACGTGCTGGTGATCACGGCCATCGCCCGGTTTCAGCGCCTGCAGACTGTCACCAACTACTTCATCACCTCGCTGGCCTGCGCTGACCTGGTGATGGGGCTGGCCGTGGTGCCCTTCGGCGCCAGCCACATCATCATGGAGATGTGGAAGTTTGGGAACTTCTGGTGTGAGTTCTGGACATCCCTGGACGTGCTCTGTGTCACAGCCAGCATCGAGACCCTCTGCGTCATTGCTGTGGACCGGTACTTCGCCATCACCTCCCCGTTCAAGTATCAGAGCCTGCTGACCAAGAGCAAGGCGCGCGTGGTCATCCTGGTGGTGTGGGTGGTGTCAGCCCTCACCTCCTTCCTGCCCATCCAGATGCACTGGTACCGGGCAGACCGTGTCGAGGCCATCCTCTGCTATGAGAAGGACACGTGCTGTGACTTCTTCACCAACCAAGCCTACGCTATTGCTTCCTCCATCATCTCCTTCTACCTGCCACTCGTGGTCATGGTATTTGTGTACGCCAGGGTCTTCCAGGTGGCCAAGAAGCAGCTGCAGAAGATAGACAAGAGTGAGGGGAGGTTTCACACCCAGAACAAGGAGCAGGACCAGAACGGGCGAGCTGGGCACCGCCGTTCCTCCAAGTTCTTCCTGAAGGAGCACAAAGCCCTGAAGACCCTGGGCATCATCATGGGCACCTTCACGCTGTGCTGGCTGCCCTTCTTCATCGTCAACATCGTGCATGTCATCCAGGACGACATCATACCCAAGTACGTGTACATCCTCTTGAACTGGCTGGGCTACGTCAACTCTGCCTTCAACCCTTTGATCTACTGCCGCAGCCCGGACTTCAGGTATGCCTTCCAGGAGCTCCTGTGCCTCCGCAGGTCTGCCCTGAAGATGTATGCCAACGGCTACTCAAACAGCAACGGCAGGAGCGACTACAACGAGGAGGACAACGGCTACCCCCTGGCACCGGATAAAACCTGCGAGCTGCTCTGCGAAGAGGGCTCCTTCCCTAACCCCGAGGGCTTTTTGCACTGCAAAGGTACTGTGCCTAGCGGGTAGCTTCGAGACGCGATGGTCTCTGGTGTGGCACGCTGGTTATAAAGATGAGCCTTTCCCTCTGTAAGGAAAAACAAAACCCCCAAGAATAATATCGATCCTCATCTAAAGCACCCCTAAAACCCAGAGGCTGCAAGAAACCTAAAACTCAGCAAACCTTCTGCAGGCAGGTGGGAGGCTGCCCTGGGGAGGCTCAGGCAGGCTGGCTGCTCGCAGAGGAAACCTATTTAGGTCCCTTGAGCCGGGGGGAGCGGAGGGGACTGTGTGGTATTTTAAGGCTGTGCAGAAAGCTCGTCCCAGGAGGAACTGAACTTCCTGACAGTGTCTGATGTTGAACTACCTCATGGCCAGAGTGTGAGTGGCTGGGTGGCTGCTGGAGGAGCCCTGTGCTCCCAGTGCTGCCCAGCCCTGCAGAGAGGGCACCCTGTGCCTAATTCCCCACGGAAGGGGTACTTAGGACCAGGGCTGTGTGTAACCTGGTCAGCTGTGTCTGACCCGCAGCTACTGCTGTCCGTGGGACAGTTTAAACAACTCCCAGAAACAACGAATGCATCTTCTGCCAAGTGCTGTAGGAGTTTCTGCTGAAATAACGATAGAAATAAACGGACTCTTTGCCCAGAATGTGGGACTGTGACTGTGGGGCTCAAGAATGTGGTACTGGGAAGCTGGGTGAGATGCTGTCACTGTCACAGACCGACCTTTTGTAGACTCCAGCCAAAGCTTTTAACTGCCCAGTTTGTTTAGCTTCAGGTCTCAAATGATAGAGAGTCCCGAGGAGGTGGGCAGGGAGGAGGGCTTCCTTACTTTGTCGCAGAGGGCTGACAGACTGGAAGCACAGCTCTGGCCGCGGGATGGCTTTAGGTTTGTTTGTTTGTTAAGGGTTTTTTTCCCCTTGCAGCAGGCTTTGCATTTTGTTCCCGGGTTGCAAAACTTGGCGGCGGGTGCACGGAGCTGTCAGGGGCACGCAGACAGGAGCGGGCAGGTGCAGGCTGTGGGATGGGACAGGGCAGGGGCTGTGCTGGGCTGTGCTGCTGAGGGCTTCTTAGACAGCCCCGGAACTGGAGGAGAGCAGCAACAGGGCTGGGAAAATGGGGCTTCCCCCTTGCCTTCACTCTCAGCTGCTGTTTGAAAGGGGAGACCCGAGGAGGAAGTGAAAGTGTGGTGTCTTCCAAAAAAAAAAACTTGGGGGAGATGGAGGAGAAATAAATTGGTACGCTGTGGTATCCTGTGGGAGGGATGCTTGGGCACTGCATGCGGGGGGCTCTTCTCCTCCCCACGCAGTTCCAGGCACCTGCTCTGACCTCCGGGGGTTTTGGTTGAGCTGCTGCGGAGGGGGCAGTGCTGCAAGGAAGCAGCTTGCGCTGTCCTGGGTTGGCCAGGGAGTGGGATTTCTGCCTGCCCACCTTTGCAGTCCCTCTGTGACCACGGCTCCCTTTGCAGCCCTGGGAAGGACTTGCCCCGAGCACTGGCACCCAAACAGGCAGCCCCAGGGAGCACTGGAGGGGGAATCACCCCTGTAGGGACAGTGTGGGGCAGGAGAGGTGCTGCAAGGTGCAGGGCAGCAGCAGGCTCATCCGTGAGCTCTCGGCACTCCTCGTGGTAAAGCCCCACCTGGCTTTTGTGGGGAAGGAGTACGGGAACTCCCGGTGCTCCCTTCTATCTTTCCCAAAGCGGTCCTGATCCTGCTTGGAAAGGGTGCTGGGAAGGGCGAAGAGCTGTAACAGCCCAATCCTTTTCTGGTGCTGTGATGGGTGCTGGCTCAGCTCCGTTGCAGCCCTTCCAGCTCTCAGTACACAGAGGCAGGGCATGTGCCCAAGAGCGCTCATCCCTCCGGCCTCTCGCTGCCAGCACTGATGCCGTGCCTGCCCGTGCCCTCCTTGGTGGGGCCGTCAGCAATGCCCCAGCACACCCCAACTCCCTTGCATTCAGCTTTTAAACCAGGTTCAGCTTTGAAATCACACCGTGAGCCACCTGAGCAAACGAGGGGCGTGATGGCACGGTACGGTGTGTGACTGCTGGGAGGAGGAGGCCCCCGGTCTGCAAAAACATTTGCTCCTCAGATACACATTAACAGGACACATAACGGGCTGTGCGGGGTTGGGTGCTTCTGGTTTCCTACTGTACCAGGGCTGAAAGGAAGGGCCCTGTGCTGCGGGGTCAGTGTAGGTGCCCCGCGTGGGTTTAGAGGCACACTCAGTTCAGTGCAGCTCATGATTGTCATGTAGCGCTCTGGGGGAAGTGAAAATTAACCTCTTGATTGTCACGATCGATTTCCCCCGTCGTTAATCTGGGGGAATGCAGGCTGTAGCAGGAGCGCAGCGGGAGGAGGTCCCGTGCCAAGGCAGGGCCGGGAGAAATCTGGTGCCCACGTCTCAGTGGCTCTGCGTATTTTTACCATTATTAATTACTGTTTGCATTTCAATAGCATGTGTTGTGGACCAGGATTTTATTGTCCAAATAATTACTCTACTTGCCTGGCTGGTTATATTCACAGATCAGACGGTGCTGTACGTGGCCAGAGCTGAGAGACGAGCGATGGTTAGCTGCAGAACCCTGGGCAGTGCCCAGCGCACAGAGGTGGAAGGGACAGGGGACGTCTGTCTGTTGATCTCTGTATTGCAGTGCTTAGTTGCAGTGTTAGGAAACCTCAGGCTTGCAGCACAATCTGAGTGTTAAAGAACTGATTTCGTTCCTCTAAGGCAACACTAGGGAAATGGGTACAATACAAACTGCTCAGTTCTGGAGGCAGCGGGAACCAAAAGAGAAATAATTGAGGACAAAATATTGTGGCACGAGCAAAGCCAAACATGACAAACCTTTCCTGTTCCAGGGTTGCAAAGATAAGCTGTATAAAGGAATCCTTTTGCCTATTAAAATATTTTGTAATAAAACGAATTTTATAGATGTATGCTAGGCATTCAAAAATAGAACATTTAAGTCTGGACACTGACCGCTTACAGTGATTTTAGGGTACTTGGGATTTACACTAGCAGAGGGTTGATTCAGGTTAACTACATCTGGTAAAACACAGCAGTGACTTCATTAGAGGACAGTCACTGTGCTGAAATACCCGATTCTAACTGCAAACTGACCAGGCTGCCTTCGGTGCTGCTGGCTTGTACCTTACAAATGGTGCAGGACACGGGCAGGCTCCACAGACTGGAGCTTTGCTCTGCGGTACGTTCACCCTTTCAGCCGCAGTCAGACAGGTTGTTACTGCTTTTAACGTCTTGCTCAAGATGAGTGTCACAAATGCAGCTTTTGTGTTGAAAATCCTGTCCTTGCAGAGGGTGGCCCTGCTCTGGCAGCTGCAGCTTCCACATCAGGAGTTGTCTTGGCCTCATCCAGCACAGCGGGCAGTGTCGTGAGTTCTGTCAGTCCTTTGCCTCTTGGGAGCATTGCTGGAGACCTTTTGCTTTCAGGGAAGCCTGAGTCCTGAAGTACAACCTGCTGCTCACTGGGGAGCTGTGAGAGTGCAAGGGGAGCAGGCTGGGCACAGATCTCTGCCTGGTGGGGTCTGCAAATCTGTGGGGTGCCGGTGGGCTCGTGGATCCTGTGGAGTCAGGTCCAGACCGTGTGGGCTTCTCCTCTGGTTGAGGACAGCGTGGGAGCCCTGCCTGAGGGCACTGCCCAGGCGCTGGGTACGGCAGGGAGGGAGGGAAGAGACTTAAGTTACCAAATCCTCCCAAATGTTTGAAAATAGGCCAGGGCTTAGTAGTGCAGAAAGGAGAGCCCCGCTCCTGCGGAGTGGGTGTGCGAGCAGGCACACGCCGTGCTCTTCAGCCCTGCCACGTCACGGCCACTGTGCTTTTCAAAGGGCTTATTTATGTATTTATTTACTATAAGGGACATGTTTTTGCTGTAGGGGGGAGGACATTGACAGGGCTGGCTAGGAGTAAACAGCAGGCTGCAGTCTCGCTCCCAGCATCTCTTGCCCTTCTGATATTACAATGCTCAGCTGCCAGGAGCCCAAATCACCCGCACTGGCTCAGGGAAAGGCTTCCCTCCCCTCCCTTTGCCAGTCCCCTGCCTCTGCGTGTTTGTGTTAACTGGTATGATGAATCCATTTCCCAAGGAGATGAGTTTATGAGCATGTTCATTCCTCTGGCAGGGGGGAGGACGTCCTGCCTTCCACGTTCCCTTCTCTGCTCTCTGTCAGCGAATACAAAGTGCCACCCCTTCAAAAGCAGCAGGGAGGCAAAGGTTTCCTCAGCAGCCTGGCTGTGTCCCAGGACAGAGAGGGTGGGAAGGGGAAGCAGGGGGGCTGCCCCTTCCCCAGCCATTTGTAGGAGCATCCAGCCCTGGGGAAGCACTTTGTACTTCATCTGACCCACTGTCTGTTGCGAACTTGTCCGAGCTGTGTGCCTGCGCTTGGTGTTTGCAGTGTGCATAGTATCCAAGGGCGGTGCTTCAGGTTTAGATCAGCAAGGGCTGTTTTGAAAAACCGCCCTGGCCTTGGATGTTGTGCTCGGCAGAGAGGTGGTGTGACCCCTGGCTCTCCCAAGACCAGTGTTTTGCAAGGATTAAGGTTCCTTTCATCACTGTTTTTGCACTTGTGCTTGGCTTCCCAGGACCAGGAATAGGACTGCAGCCACTGTTGGGCATCTCCCTGTCAACAAAGTCTTTTTCAGTGTGAGAGCTTGGCTCTTTCTGAGAGCTGAGCACATCTTCCCCCGGTTAGCCTTTTATTGGAGCTGCTTGAAAGTGAGCATTAGCCCTAACCTTTCTTTTTTGGAGGCAAAGAGAACATTTTGCAGTGAACACACATCCCCGTTTGGCAGCTGGGGTAGCTGCACCCTCCTATCACTGACATTCCTCCCCTGTCACCAGCTGCAGGGGCACCCAAGCTAACCTGTAGGTACTTTTCATGATATTACAGAGCAGGGCAGTGAATGTTTTGCCCATTCCTGCCTCTTGAGAGATGCTCTACAGCTGTTCCTTGGGGTCTGAGCTGCAGCTGGTGGTTCAGGCAGACCCTGGGGCACACAACTGCTGCCCCGTGCACCCTCAGCTGCAGTGCTGAGGCTGTTTGCCTGCCACAGAACAAAGTACAGCCAGCTCGGCTGGGGTCATGGTAACACAGCCCAGGTCTAGACAGAGCTGTGCACGCTGGAAACAAGTTTACACAGAGCTTGGGAGGCGGTTATCTCTCCTGGTAAGTGTCATGGGATCTATTTGTAAGAGCTGGACACAACCCTGATCCCCCTGGATTTAGCAGTGGGTATCTGCTGGGATTGCTGTCTGTAAGGGTGCTGAATCAAGCCTGGTATTTCAGGGGGCATCAAGCCCTTACAAATGTCATTGATCATGATAAAAGTGGATTTGCTGCTTCTCCATGCATGCAATTTCAGTTTTTCTCCTGTTTTCTTGCTCTCCCGATGGCAGGAGCATACAACTGAACTTCAGTGCAATATTGCCAGTGAGAGTGGATTGGGAAATATTTACTTGTTTACTGTCCTTGGTAAGGTCACTTTTGCACAAGCGCATATATATTTTGATATACATATGTATATGTGTGTATATATCTATTATCTATATACAGTGAGATATAGATCTGTATATAAACAAGGAAATGTTAAAGGTGTTTTGTGCTGGCTAGATACATAGGTGAGGACATGGATGTTCAGAAGTTTGAGTATTTATTGCAGGTTCTCTTGATTGACAATGTGTTTAAATAAAGAGTATTTATGGTATGCTTGTAGTCAAGTGTCCTTGCTTAAAGCTGTTCTGGCCGTATCTACCACATACTCTCCAAGACTCTTCCAGTGAATCTTCAGGGCTTCTGTGAAACACAAAACAAAGCCGAGCTGCCTGGTGCGGGCTGGGAGGCACACAGAGCCTCAAGTGGCAGAGAATTTCATTCGTTTGTGCAGTGCTGTGAGCTCTCCTTACCTGGAAACACTGAGAAAGCTGGGGGTGCTCAGCATCGCCCTGTGAAAAGGCTTCTCTGGCTTCCATCTCCTCTGCCAGGGCTCGTAGGTAAAGTGTTTTTTGAAAATCCACCTGCTCTGCTGCCTGTTTGGACTTCAAACAGCCGCAGTCATGTGGTGGCAGAGTGGGGCTGCTGAAGAAGCAGGGTCGAAGACAGCTGGGCTTTTAATCCTTTGTTGCTGGTCTCTGGTGCCAGCCTTCCCCAGCGCTGGGAGGAGCACATGGATGTCCAGCACTGAGCCCAGGGATGGGAAATGTGAAATATGGGCAGTGCATACAGGGATTGACCGTAAAACTCCCTCTGAGCTGCCTGGGTGAGGTCTCACTGTGCCCACGATGGGAGCTGCGCACCTCCTGGGGTTTCTTTGTCCTGGCTCAGCAAACCTCCCTGCAGCATCTCCAGCTGTGCTGGTTTGGAGCTTGAGGTGAAGCAGCAATGATGCTGTGACCTGCAGAAGCAGGGGGACGGTAGCACAGTGTGGTGGCTCTCTCCTGCCTGTCTCAGGTTGCTTTATCTACTAATTAGGATCAGAAAATCCTTCTGGAGAGGTCTTTGGGAAAACATCCTAGCCCCAGCCTGTTCCTCTGGTACCTGCTGCCCAGCCCTGTCGTGCTGCTGCTCTCACTGCCTCAGGTGGGGTGAAGAAAGCATGCTTTATGTTAAGCAAGATCCCAGCCCCCGTGTCGCAATGACAAGTATTTGCGTTCTTTATGCCACTTAAGACCATGATGAAAGCGTTGGCAGCAAAGGCCAGTGCAAGCCCTGCACGTTTCAAGGCTTCTCCTTTCCAGAAACAAGAACAGGAGTCGTAGTGCAGCTTGGACAGGGAGGGATTGCACCAGGCACTTCCAAAGCACGGCAGGTGCCCAAATTATAATTGTTTATGGTTTTGTAACTTTGTGCTTTCAAGGGATAGAGAGCTCCAGCTAGGACCAGGAGCCACTGCCAACTGCAGGGCTTTGGAAGAGGGACCCAGCCCTTCAGTATCTCGGTGTGAGCCTGAGCTGCCATGCACCCTTTTAAAACAGGACGTTCAGAGTGGAGAACGTTTCTCACCACGTCCCACCTTGGGCTTGGTCCTAAGAGGTGCTTAGAGCCCAGTGCCCACTTCCCAGCACTGTTGGTACCTCAACCCCTCCTGGCTCTGGTCCCCAGCTGTGCCAAACGAGTGCCATCAGGAAACCACGGCAGCTGCCTGCCAGAGCTACCTGCAGCCTCGCAGACATGACTTCATTGCAGGCGTGGGCAACAGCAGCCTCGGCAAGATCTCTCAGCAGCCCCGCAGGCAGCCTGTGCGCAGCCCCCGCTTGCGCCCCCGCCTCGGCAGCAGGGGGGAGCTCGGGCTCCTCCGCTGGGCTCCGCAACATCAACCCCGTCCTGAGAAACGCATAAACAGCAAACGGGGCCTCTGGGAAAACCCTGCCAAGTCCTTTCTCCTTCATATAAATATTTTTTCCTCTTAAGTGTATGCGAGTGTGAAATATCCCTCCTTAATCTTTTCTCTTTCTGGCGGAAAGAAATGTTTGTTCATCCCTGGGCAGGGACAGCCCGCAGTTTGATATTTTGTGTTTTGTAACCGTTAGACCAAGCAAAATCCATGCTGCCAACAGCGTTTCTTATCGCCCCCAAATCCCTATTGCTCATCCTGCCTCTGAAGCCTGCTGGCACTGGAGCGAATGGTGCCAGCCCTGCTGGGTGCGTGGCAGGACCGGGATGTGACACTGCTCGGTGTCACCTGGGTGGGGGTCCTGAGGTGTGGACAGCAGTGGGTCAGTGATGGCAGCACCCTGAAAGCAAACTGCTCAGAGAGAGATACTCCTCGCTTTCGGATAGAAGCTGGGTGAGAAAGGAAATATTTGTGTATGCAGCAGAGATGGGGGCACCCAACACATCTGTGCAGAGGGGGATGGAGGAGCTGTGTAGAAATCTATTCCCTGGGAAATGTGTCACTGCTGTTCAGATGTTTTCTCACTTTCCATTCGTTGTATCTGGCTGTCCTGCTCAGGTGCGCCTGGGTATGGGCTGTCACCACTCCCCTCCAGCCCAGGACCTCACTCGAGGTCAGTGTCTCACCCAGATGAGGGCATTGCTGCCAGCCGCTGGGCTGCGGCAGGATGCATGCCAGCACTGCGGGCAGCCCTGCACCAGAGTGATGCTGAGATAAATCCCTATCAGTCTCGGCTGTAGGCTGTGGTGACATGTCCCCGTAACCCAGATCCTACAGGTGATATCATGCCTCCACGCGAGTCTGGGCTCTTCTTTGTAGAGACAAGTCGGGCTCAACAGCTGGAGCGCAGAGCTGCTGAGCAGGAAGGGCTGGACAAACTGCTTTGTAGCTAAAGATGAGAAAGAGCAATAGCTCCCTCATTCTGGGATGGGAAAAACCCTGGTAGCACCCCAGCAGTTCAGGTACAGAGAGGTGTTGATGTGGGCTGGTTGTAGGATGCTCTCCCCAGGGATTTGCAGTGCTGAGTCCTTCTTCCCCGGTGCCTTTCCAGGTGCCTTGCGTGGCTCTATGTAAACCAGCCTGATTTGAGCAGGACCTCTTTGTAGCCAGCTTGCTATCCATGAAAGACAACTGTGCTGTAAGCCATCAGGTCACAGATTTTCCAAGCAGACGTGTAATGCTCTGTGCCCTTGTTGAGCTGGACTGTGTTACCAGAATCAGTGCAACCGGTCGTGAGAGGGATTCGGTCGATGCTCTGCATGGTCTGGAGGGCATGCTCAGTAGAGATCTTTGCTGTGGGAGGGGAAGGGGAGATGCTGGCACAGATGGGCTGGAGGGGTCGGTGTGACGCAGCAGGACTGGTTTTCTAGCACAGACGTCAGAGCAGTGTCTTACATTGCATCACAGCCTGGTTTGGGTTGCAGCGAGCGCCGGTAGGGACCTGCATTTCTCTGTGACGTGCTGTGGCTCAGCTCTCCCCTCCCCTCATCTTCTCCTCGCAGGCACAGGCTGTCCTCTTCTTCGCTGCTTCTGGAAAGTGGAGTCACTTGTGAGCTAGCCAGGCTTTTGCACAACGGAGCTGTTAGCAACCTCCCTGCCCGGGGAGCAGTGTCACAGGGGGGAGCAGTGAGGGCAAGTCCCACCCAGACCTGGAGGTCCTGCTGTGTCCTGCTGAGTAAACGAATCCAGAGACAAGGCTGCAAGTGCACGCTGAAACAGATGGGGCGGAGGGGAAGGCACTGAGCTGGGGCACAATGCACAGCTGCTGGAGTTAATTCATATCCCTTCAGCACAGCAGCTGAGACAAAGCAGAGCTGCAGGGAGGAGAAGCGCGGCAAGAAAAAGAGAGAGCAGAACCCCTGAAAGATATTTTGTGACTCACGGAGAGAAGTTCCTTGTAACTGCATGGTATGATTTGTTCAGCCCGCTTAGAGCCTGGCTGTGCAGTTAGTTCCCCATCTCTTCTGGGCTTCCTGCTGCAGAGGAAGACCCTTGTTAGAAGGGGATCCTCGCAGGACCTATTTGTAGCATGGAAACCCTTGCAGGAGAGCCACACAGCCCTGAATGCACATCTCCCCATCCCGGTGATGTGTAGGCTGGTCCTCCTGCCATCCCAGTGCAGTGTGGGGCTCCTATAAAGTGCTGCTGAGAGGCACAAGCTCACGTGCATCCCCATCCAGTTTGCAGTGTTCCCCCTGAACCCCAGGGACCAGAGGGGTGCAGGCATTGCATCTACTCGGGTTTGGTCTCAGGACAGGCTCCTTTCAAGCTCCTGTGCCGGAGACAAGCCTACTGTTGGATTCCAGAGGGCTAAAGCCAGGTGGCAAAGCTTTGGGGATTTTCCTGTGTGATTTGATGTGCAAAGCACAAAGGCTTGTATCAAAATCAGAGTGATTTTTGGAGACATTTTCTGCCTAAAGGTTCCCTTTACACTGCAAGTCTCCGGAGATGAAAAATAATGATAAATCTGTTTGGAAAAGCCAAGCTTTTAGCATAGATTTGGACAACTGCAGCTTACTGAGGGCCTGTGTCTGTAAGGAAGCTTTCAGTCTCCCAACAGATTCATAAATACAATATAGACTACTGAAGAAAACTGGAGGGAAACAGAAGGACATTTAGGAGAATGGCTGAAGGGACAGATGGAGGCAACCAAAGAACAAAGGCAAAATGAAATATTGCCCAAAGAGAGCATAAAATGGTGACAAAGAAACAAACAGAGATGAGAAATGGGCCCTAGGGGAGAAAATGACTCAAACACCAGCAGGAAACTTGGGGT